CTGTTGGAGAAGGGGAAAATATTATTACATTTTTCTTATAAGATCAGGCCACAAAAACTAAAAAAATCATCCACAAACCAAATAACATCAAGCATCATCAACTCATCAAAATCAGACACAAACGAACAATTATTGAGCAGACAATTAAGGGTAGCCATAACACATTTACAAAATTTTCAGCTCTGAACAAAAGCAATATTTTACTTAAAACTGAAAACTTCAGTGGTTACAAATCATTCCCAATATTTATTTTCGATATAATTAAAATGACTACCTTCATCTTTCGAGTAGAATTATCGATGTCTCCTTTTGTTTGATGCTTCTTCAACTCTTTTTTCTTCGAAAAATCCCGTCGGCGCTTACGGTTTTTTGGGTCAAATTTTGGGAGGTCTGTGTCAATGTCGCTGTCATTCTTTGCTAAATCCGCACCCACTTCACTCGAATTTGATTCTTCCTCGTCATGAATATCGAAATCCGAATCAGAATGTTGTTGATTCTTTGGAGTATCAACAATTTTGGCCTCGACCCTGTTTCTTCGAACCCTCTTATTCTTCGTGCTTGGTGTCATCTTTTTCGCTTTTTGTTTCATTTGATTTTGTGAGACGAAATCGTCGTCGTCGTCCGACTCATCTTCGGCGGTCTTCGGGTTAGAATTTCTGGCACGGCTAGTATGCTCTATTTTCTGAAATTGAAGTTTTTTTTGTACAATCTTTCGCTCGGGGGGTTGAAACTGGGATGAGCGACGAGATCTGGAGCGAGTAATCCTTGCTTCGTCTTCACTTTTGGAGGGTTTGCTCTCGATTTTGTTCTCCTTTGCCATTGTTCTTCACAATTTCACCGACAAAATATGGTGCACTGCGGATGAGCGACGAGAATTTCTGGCATCGTCTTCACATTTTTTTTTTTTAATTGAGATATGCATTTTTTTGGAGAGGGAGATGGACATTGAGATGGAGATTTGCAGATTTTGAGAGAGAGAGAGAGATGGAGATTTGGAGATTTTCTTGAGATTTGGTGAGAGAGGAGATTTCCGAAAATCAAGATGTAGTTAATTGCATTAAAGGTTAATTACCCATTTTAATTATTAACTAACGTATTTATGATTATAAGGTTTTTAGACCGTATTTTTGTTATTATTTTCTGTTTGGAATGTAAAGTGTGTAAATTTCTCTACATAATTAAGTAAACCCATAACAACTTTCTTCTTAAATTATAAATAAATGAAATCTAACTTTTTTATTTTTTTATTTATTTAAAATTTTGAGGGCGATACGGATTTTAAATTTTTAAAAATATGATGGTACACATATCAATATTTATATTTATAGTTTTTTTATATGAAATAAGCGTTTCGACTTAAACTACAATATCGTTATAACATTTAAGATCGGGCCTCCCTGAATGAAATTCATAGATCCGTGAACATTTAAGATCGGGTCCCCCTGAATGAAATTCTTAGATCCGTCATTAAATTTCTATATCTGTTTTATACACTACATCATTGTTCTATTTTTTAACATGGAAGATTTTTTAATTTTTTTTTACAAAATATTAAATCTCACCTTAATTTCCAATCTCATTTTATATATTTTCTTAATTAGCTTTTGATGAAGTGCTTTGGATACTTCTATAGTTCTATTCGACTTTGATCAATTGGATTAATCTGTGGCTTTATGTGAGATTTACCGAGATAGAATTTACTCGGACATTTTACCAAAGTATTGTTGGGAATTCCAACCACACCGAAACTCCGCCCAAGATCCTCTGAAAATAAAAAACTGGAGAACACAAAATTTAACGTGGAAAACCCTCTGTTAACGAAGAGGGAAAAACCACCAGGGCAACAAGGCCGTAGAAAATCCACTATGTAAAAAAAATTACACAATTTTTCTACCACTCACTTACCCAAAATTACCCCACAGAATTTTCTACTCGTTAACCCTAACTCTCACCCTAAGGAATTTTTACCCTAAGGAATTTTTTACCAGAGATTAATTGTTAACACAATAACTCTGTGGGATGATTTTACATAAGAAGTAGCACTTTTTTATATAGGAGAAAAATCTCCCTCTCTTTCATTCCACAATCGATGTGGGACAAAGAGCAAAACCCAACAAACTCCACCTTGCGATTTTGGCCCATCTGACAGCCACTATTCACTTTGATGATAATTTTCATAGCTTTCGCCATCATGCTCCATCATAAAAGCATATCCACTCGGACTCGCATCCAAGCATTTCTTCGGCCCATGTCGAAATAACCTTGCTGAAATCTATGGTGCAACTTCCACGTTTGGCTTTCCTGAAAGTTCATCAGCCTTCGACATGCTTTTTCCACCACACACCATGCATCACTGCCAAACCAATGCCCGTGTGTAAACTGTGGACCCGCTAATTGTAACACGTCCTCTTTCAAGACACTTAGCGACATGCCATAAGGACTTCCCTTTCTCTCTTAGCAAAACTCATTGTTGTGTACAAATAATTTTTATTTTACCGAGCACCGAATCAAATGATTCGTTTC